TTTTATTTTATTTTATTATTTTATTTTATTTTATTTTATTATTTTATTTTATTTTATTTTATTATTTTATTTTATATTATTTTATTATTTTATTATTTTATTATTTTATTATTTTATTATTTTATTATATTATTTTATTTTATTATTTGATTTGATTTGATTTGATTTATTTTATTATTTTATTTTATATTATATTATATTTCATTTCATTATTTCATTTATTTCAATTATTTCATTTATTTCAATTATTTTATAATTTTATTGTATTTTATATTATTTTATTTTATTTATATTTTATTTATATTTTATTTACATTTTATTTATATTTTATTTCATTTCATTATTTCATTTATTTCAATTATTTCATTTATTTCAATTATTTTATAATTTTATTGTATTTTATATTATTTTATTTTATTTATATTTTATTTATATTTTATTTACATTTTATTTACATTTTATTTATATTTTATTTCATTTCATTATTTCATTTATTTCAATTATTTCATTTATTTCAATTATTTTATAATTTTATTATATTTTATTTTATATTTTTTATTTTATTATATATTTTATTTATATTTTATTTATATTTTATTTATATTTTATTTACATTTTATTTACATTTTATTTCATTTCATTATTTCATTTCATTATTTCATTTATTTCAATTATTTCATTGTATTTGTTATTTTATTTATTTTTTATTATTTTATTTTTTATTCTATTATTTTATTTTATTATTATTTTAAATTTATTTTATTTTATTCTTTGTCAAACATGTACAAGGTAGCAGGTATGAACGGATGAATCAGGCAGCCTGCAAGAATTACCCAAGGGGTGAACCCCGGACAGTGGCGGAAGTGGGGAAACATTTTTCATTAAAGGTGGTCCTTGATTTACGACTGAGGCAGGGGGCGGAATATCCATGGCTAGGCAAGGAGATTGTTTAATGACTTACGCCTGATTTTATTTATTTATTTAGTTTTGAAGACGTTTCTTAACCTAACCAGGTAACATCACCAGTGCTAGGAGGGAGAGGGGTTGGGGAGAGGAGGAGGAGGAAGAGGAGGAGGGCTGTGGGGTCCTTGGTGCTCTCTGAGCTTGGTGGTTTCCTTGCAGACGTTTCATGACCCAGCTAGGTAATCTCATCAGTGTTAGAAAGGAGTTGGATGGGGGGGGGATAGATAATGAGCAGGAAAGAAGAAAAAAAAGGAGGAATATGGGGTCCTTAATGCTCTCTGAGCTTGGTGATTTTCTTGCAAACGTTTCATGACCTAACTAGGGAACACCATCAGTGCTAGAAGGGAATGGGGATTGTGGAGAAGAGGAGGAGGAGGAGGGAGAAGAAGAAGAGCGGGATGAAGAGGAGGACTGTGGGGTCCCTAATGCTCTCTGAGTAGTTTTCTTCCAGACGTTTCATGACCCAACTAGGTAACATCATCAGGACTAGAAGGGAGAGGGGTATGTGGGGGTCGGGGGGAGGAAGAAGAGGAGAAACAGGAGGAATTATCAGTGCTGTCTGAGCTTGGCTGTTAAGCAAACCACTGCCGTTCTTAAGTGAGATCATGCAGTCATTAAATGAATCTGACTCCCCACATTGACACTGCTGGTCCAAAGCTGGGCTTGGAAGGCCGCAAAGTGCATTCACATGACTCCCAGGATGCGGCGATTGTTGTAAATACACCCAGTTGCCCCGCGTCCAATTTTTGTACATGGGGCCATTGCAGATGCTACTAGGGTCCTCCTATCCCCAAAGACTGGACGCACGTTGCTTTAATCAATGCTGGTGTAACGTCGCTAAGCAAATCTTTGTAACACCCACCTGTGTCTTTTTCCTCACGCATGTCTCGCTCGTCTCCTCCGCAGGAATCATGCCAGCTTGGACGCTCGTACCCATCATGGCTTGTGGCCTCCTGATGCTGTGCCCCCGGGGGTCCCCTACCAGCATGGGCCACCCACTGCCCAAACCCCTCCAAGGCCCATACACCCCTCACCCGTCGTTCAGCCACCCCCCGCTATTCGGACCGGATAAAGCTTCTCCCGCGGCGTCCGACGACTACGACTATGACGAAGATTATTACGACAACTTTCAGTCCACCGAGTCTCCCCGCTTCCTCTCACCGGGGCCGCCGACCCCTTTTTGTGCCTACGACCGCTGCAAACACCTTCAAGTGCCTTGCGGGGAATTGAGCCGCCTGAGCAAATGTTTATGTCCCGGAGTCACCGGCCCGGACATAACCCCGGGCGCTCCCCGTTTACGAGCGGTCCACGTCAGCGAGACCCGCGCGAGCTTGCACTGGTGCGCCCCCTCGTCCACGGTCCATGTGTACCACCTCAAGTACTGCCGCCCCGGCGAGGATTTTGTTTTGGGGCCACCGCTAAACAGCACTGTCCGCGTCGCGGCGCTTTACGACCTTGTCCCTGGCACCGAATATCTCCTCTGTGTTGTGGCGGCCAACCAAGCCGGGTTCAGCCCGACGGACGACGGTGTTCGAGAACACGGGCCGTGCCGGCAGGTTCGAACCCCGGCTCACCAGATGACCTATGTCTATATAGCGGTGGGTTTGGGCTGTGTTCTAATCCTGGGGGTGGTTTCTGTCCTGTTGTGGCATTTCTACACCCGGAAAGCCAAACCCGTCCAGCACGGATCCTTGGATAATATCCTGGACGGGGAGCTGAGTTCGGGACACGCCGGAGCGACCAACAGCTCGTTCCGGACGGAAGAACAACTGTGATGGAGGCTTCCTAGTGCCAGTTCCTACTTGTGCCCCCTTTTGGACAATGGCCGAGTATCTTTTTACGGAGGGGACACCGAGGCACAATCACTTTAGGCTGCTCCGGTGATGGAAGACAGACAGACTCCAATGATGGACAGTCGGAGCGAAGCTTCACTTTTCTGCCAGATAATCGTTTTCAGAGTGAATTGATTCTCTTTACGGGACCGCAGGTGGTCCTCGACTTATGGCCGTGTGTGGGGCAACTGTTCCGGGTTAAAACGGCGCTGTAGAAAGACGACTAACCACCAATTCTCATACAGAACGACGCAATACAGCCTCCCCATGGTCACATGATCAACAGTATGTATTTATGAAGGACGTGGAGCCCCTCCCACCCCCAGGTCACGCGATCCCCATTTGTGACGTCACCAGCAGGCTTCCGACAAGCAAAATCAATGGGGGAATCTGGATTCGCTTAATGACCGTGCGATTCACTTAGCAACTGTGGCAAAAAAAAACTTGTAAAATTGTGCTGTCTTATAGCAGCCCTGCTTAGCAATGAACATTCTGGTCCCAATTGTCGTCATAAGTTGAGGACAACTTGCGTTCTCTTTTCCTTCCTTCCTTCCTTCCTTCCTTNGGACTAGAACTCACCGTCTCCTGGCTCCTAGCTCAGTGCTTAACCACTAGACCCAACTGCCTTAAAAAAAATCACACTTTGCTCCATTTACTTGCTAAGCCCCCATGACCACAAGGTGCAATTATCCAGGTTTTGGATTTGGGAGTCCACACTGCCCCACGTTGCGGCTTTGTGTTGTGTGAATTTAACCCCAGGCAAGCGGCGAGGAAAGCTGGTATATTCAGCTGCTAGTAAATTCTGGTAACGCTACACAATTTTTTCTCCCCAGTCATCTCTGGAATGCGATTGTAAACCATCGGAGCTTGCTGACTAATTTGCAAACAAAAGGGACCCAAATTTGTTGTTTGCAGAAGGCAAACAAGACATTTCTCCACATTGTTTCTGGGTTTCTGGAAGGCCACAGAGAGAGGGGGAAAAAAACCCTGCTTACCCTGGGCTCTCCTGAAATGCCGGCGTTTTAAAACGCTTGTGGATGGGAAGGCAAGTTTCTAGTCCTCTGCGAAAGGCGGCTAAGGAGAAAGGGATATTGAAAAGAAAAAAAAACAAATCAATCCAGGAAACTTTTTGTTTTGAAATCTAAATGGAGCCAGGATGCGGTTTGGGAAATAGAATCATTTCAATTTTTTAAAAAAATCTTAATTTTGCATAATTCGGACGGTCCAATTTCATTCTTCCCAGTCCTGGAATTTTCTGCAGAGGTTCTGGTAGGTTCCTTGATCCACTGTATTTTTCGGACTATAAGTGTATAAGACACACCAAGATTTTGAAGAGATAAGTAAGAAAAAAAAAAGGTTTTGTCCTCCCCGGCCCCCAGCAGCACTCGACAGGTTTCAGCAGGGCTGGGAGAAAGCAAAAACGCCTCCGTTTTTGCAAAAAATGGGCGTATTTTTGCCTTTCCCCAGCCCTGTTGAAACCTGCAGAGTAATGCTTGGGTTTGGGGAAAGGCAAAAACACCTCCGTTTTTGCAAAAAATTGGCGTATTTTTGCCTTCTCCCAGCCCTGCTGAAGGCTGCAGAGTAATGCTTGGGGTTGGGGGAAGGCAAGAACACCTCCATTTTTGCAAAAAAATGATGCAGGGACGGGCTTCGGGAGGCCAAAAATGGCTGTATTCGGTGTATAAGACGCACCAACATTTCCACGCTCCTTTAGAGGGGGAAAAGGTGCGTCTTATACTCCGAAAAATACAGCACATTTTCTCTCTTTCTCATGAATCGTTGTGAGGACACGAGGTCCTGTCTAGCCAGCTGTTTTTTAAATTTTATTTTCCAATTTAACTGAGTGGGGAGTGTCCCGTCCCTCTCCAGTTTCCACCCTCTTATTTCTGGGAAGGACTGTCTACATTCCACAAACCGCAAATAAAGTCTGGTATTAGCCAACTTTGGGCTGGCTCTCGCCTCCAGGGCCCCCCACCCTTCAGGGACGTGCGTAATTGCACACACCACCTGCCAGCCACACCGATCACAATGCGTTAGTCAATTGAACCGCCGTTGTGTCACAATTCCGCTAGACCTCAGCTGGTAATTTTTAAAATATTTTTCCATGATAAATCTCTACACATAATCCTCGACTTACAACGGAACTGTTCTACCTTACAACAGAACGAGGGAGAAAAAAACTGATTTGCAACTGGTCCTCGGACTTACGACCGTCACAGTACTGCCACGATCACGGCACTTGGCAACCGGCATTTACAAGGGTTACTGTGTCTCGCATGTCATGTGAGGGCTATTTTTGACTTTCCTGGCCGGCGTCCGACAACCAAAGCCGGATTCGTTTAACGACTGCCTGGTTCATTTAAGAACTGCAGTGATTTGCTTAACAACCCTCTGGAAAAAAAAATGTTGTAAAGCCAGACTCAACGGAAAAACTGTTGTTTAGAAATAAGAAATTTGGATCCTGATGGCGGTCGTAAATCAAGGATTACCTGTGCATTCTTGTATTGGCAACCAAGTTGGCTTCTGCTCGGTTTAATGAAATAAATGTTTTAAGGAACATTTATAATAAACTAGCCGATAACCTGGCATTATTTATGAGGGGAAATTTCCAGACCAAATGTAATTTCTAACGTTGGATTTTCCCCCTTAGCAGAGGGAGCCCCCTTGCGGAGTACTGTGAAGCTGTTACCATGGCAACTCTAGAGGAAGCCATTTTACGGCAGCACAGTAGAAGCCATTTTAAGGCACAACAGGCTGTATCTTAACACATGCCCAGAGAGGTTTTAGGGGTGTCTTACCCCCATGGTATTTGTTTCCAGAGGGCAAGTCATCTGTATTCCTCCAGGCATTCCAGAGTTATGCTGGAACACACACACACAGAGANCCTCCCGGAGGCTCGAGGAAAGCCTCCAGAGTCCTGGGAGGGCAACCCTCCCACCGTGGAACAGGAGGCCAACTAGGCCACGCCTACCATGGTCATGCCCAACCAGCAGAGAACCCCTTGCTAAAATTTTGGAAGGCTATTCCCTGTGTGAAAGCCCTCTTAGTCATAGCTGCTACCTATTTTTCAAGCAGGAACTGTGAACGGATGAAAACCTCAAGATTGCATAGTGGTCTCAAATGGGAAAGTGCTGCCCCATTCAAGACTAAAGGTGGAGAAACTCCAGGACCTAGGGATTCTAAATAATCCCAGTCCTTTGGTCTTACCCAGATTGATCCTGAGTCTGTTCCTTTGTGGTCAGACCCACACAGCTGCTAAACATTACTTGGATGACCTACAATCAATATACAATATCGGCATTATAAGTATACTGATAATAGCAGACTCAAACTGACGGATGACCAACTAGTGGTTTCATATAAATGTTAAACATTAGAATAGAAAACAAATGAAGGGTCATGGCCTCAATCTTTCATCCCCTTAAACACCAAGCTAAAGTAACCACAAAGAATGGAAAAGAATTATTGTTGGATGATGCTTTTTTCTGCACCCACCAGGAGAATAGAAATTGTTATGCAGTTTGTGCCACAAGTCAAGTGTGAGGTGGCTTTCTAGCTCTAGAATTGCTGCTTCTTCCTCCTTTCTGAAATCACACAAGTCTAGAGAAATAGCTGTCATCGGGGTCCTTATACTGTTGTGCAGGCCTGTCAGAAATGACCTGTCAAAGGACGATGTTTGAAAGAGTATATTTAAATGTAAAAAAGGGTAAATTATATGAACTAAAGGTAAGTAGATATAGTTATCAGTATCAAGAGTAGACATGGAAATAATTTTCATGCCTAAAGAAAACAATTTAATAATTTTCTGTCACCTCAGGAAAATGTCTTTCCCAGAGATGATGATCCTTTTGTGGGGAAAAATCCACCTGGTTCCTACAGAGAATGTCTGTATCTTCTTTGGCTGAAAGTTCTAATATCTGTTGGAGAAGAAATTATATTTTGCCAAAGAGATGAAATATGGTCCAAGACACTCAAAGAAACTATAATATTGTCCAGAGATGGCTGTCAAAATGTAATTATATATCAGCTTTTATTAAATTCTAGCACATTACAAGTAAGGCCTACCAGTGTAATTAGGTGTAGTATTCTAGGAAAAGGAATAGTAATACAATTACTTGGAACAAACGTATAGCTTTGAATTATCAGTAATAGCAGAGGAACTTTCTGATAAATAATGGCTAGACTTAAGTCATAAGGTTCGCTCAAGAGTTTCTGAAAGATAAGAATTCTCCTATGATCGTGGAGACAGCAGCCAGACTGGGTTGCTCTGTCCAGTAACCAATTGGACTGAGTCTACATTTGTAATGTCATCGAGCCCCGGCGACTCCTCCCAGTTTAGACTCAGTCCAACCTAGGACTAGCTGTGAGGATTGATCTCTCCTCCTTGCTATTGCTCTAAATTGTTCTATTTTACTAGACTAGCATTTTTCAAAATTTAATTTTTTGATAGGAATATTATTTCCTTGTCTCCTGCTCTGATTTGGGTAGGAGATTCAAAAATCAGCCTTCGGGCTTCACTTCAGCTGCCTGTCTGCCTTGCAACCACGAGTTCGCTCCGGGACGCATTCCAGCCTCAGTCGGCATGGTGCTGACTCCTCAGCTCATGAGCTGCGGCTCTGGGGCTGTCTTCTTCCTGGCATTGGAAGAAGTGGCCGCCATTTTAGAGTCTGCCAGCCATAAAACGCGTGTGAAGACCAGTGGTGGCCATCTTGCGGCTTGGAAAAGCGTGCAAAGAAGCAGTGGTCGCCATTTTGGGTGCCCAGCATTGCGGAGGCAATCGTGGAGCCAAAAAACGTTCCAGGCTGCAGCGGCGCTCCTGACTGTACCAATGAGATCATTGCCAATCCCTTTTCAGCTTGGGGTCTAGCTTTCTTCCAGGAATGGCTGAACACTCAATGGTGGGGGCTATTCTTGACAAGGAATTGGAGGAGGCAGGGCCATCGGGGGTAAGGAGCAGCCGCAAAAGGATAGTTAAGGAGGCTCGTGACACAGGGAAAGCTACTAAAGCTTCTAAAACCTCTCTTAGAACTGAGGAAAGAAGACAAAAGGCCCTGGAAAAGGAGTTTCAGTGGGTCCAAAAACAGACGAGCCAGAACATCCAGGCCTCTCCTCCCCTCCCATGGGGGATCAAGCTACCTCCCCTTTCCCTCCCCCCAAATTACCACCTATTGGGCCTTTTCCATCTTTAGATGAATCACATGGGGAGTTGTCCTCCTTCTCCTCATCATCCTCCATAGAACCTGATACCAGGGGAAATTTTTTTGATGTCCCTCTCAATAGGGATCATACATTTGAACAGGCTGGTCGCCTTCCAGCTCAGAGCACAGCGGTGTCTCAGGCCTCAATTTCCTCTCCTACAGAAATGGCAGCCATAATTGCAGAAGCCATAAAACAAGGCATTGCTGCCGGGCTTCAGCAGCGTCCATCTTCTGGGCCATCTCATAGGCAGAGGCATAGGTCATCTAGGGACCCTCAGCAAAATCCTCCTGCATCGGTCACTCAGGCTTCTATTTTTGGAGAT